AGCCAGAGGTGACATTCACAGATGCGACCAAAGAAGAACAACCTATGGAGGTTGGGCAGAGCGAGACGTCAGAGAACTCAAAGAATGAAGAAAACAAACAGCAACAAGAGGAAACAAACTCAGGGAATGAAGAAAATGGACAACAAAACGAGGACAAGGTCACTACGGTTAGTGAAGAAACCGAGAAGGAACAGAAGAACATCCAACAAGACGAACATAACACAACAGAGGAAGAAGCCGTAAACAAAGAAGAACAGAACACATCAAACGAAGAAAACGTGGCGCAACAAGACGAGCCGAAAGACGAGAAAAGACAAGAGGGAACAGAAGCTAGTAGTGGGTTTGGATCAGGAATACCGAAAGAATCTGCAGAATCACAGAAGTTATGGAAGAGTCAAGCAATAGAATCTAAAGACGAGAAACAAAGACAAACATCTGAATCGAATACCGTAGAGAGTATAATGAATGGAAATGCATGGGTGCTATGCAATGTAACTGCCGGTCCTGATTATATACCATGCTTAGACAACGAAGAAGCTATAATGAAACTGAGGAGTAGAAGACATTTTGAGCACAGAGAGAGACATTGTCCAGAAGACCCACCAACGTGTCTCGTCTCTCTTCCAGAAGGGTACAAGGAGTCCATCAAGTGGCCAGAGAGCCGGGATAAGGTAAAATATTCGATGGAACTAAAGCTTTTCGTTCAAGTGAAATAGGATAAAATGTTGACTCACGTTTGATCTAGTAGATATGGTACCATAACGTCCCACACACAAAGCTAGCAGAGGTGAAAGGACATCAGAATTGGGTTAAGGTCACTGGCGAGTTCTTGACGTTTCCCGGTGGTGGAACACAGTTCATCCATGGAGCTCTCCATTATATCGATTTTCTTCAACAGGTGAGCTCATTTCTTGATTACTTAATGGAGTTTAAACTGCACCAAATAAAGATAAATCTAATGCTTTCATTTTGTTAGTCTTTGAAAAACATTGCGTGGGGTAAACGTACTCGGGTTGTATTAGATGTTGGATGTGGAGTTGCGAGCTTTGGCGGTTTCCTATTTGAAAGAGATGTTATAGCTATGTCTCTTGCACCAAAAGATGAACATGAGGCTCAGGTTCAGTTTGCTCTTGAAAGGAAGATTCCAGCTATTTCTGCGGTGATGGGCTCAAAAAGACTGCCATTCCCTAGCAGAGTGTTTGATCTTATTCACTGTGCACGTTGCAGAGTCCCTTGGCACAATGAGGGAGGCATGCTTCTTCTAGAACTGAATCGAATGCTTCGGCCAGGAGGTTATTTCGTCTGGTCTGCAACACCGGTCTACCAGAAGCTCGAAGAAGATGTTCAAATATGGAAAGGTAAGGTCTAAACTACAATGCTTGAGCTTAAACAGAGTTACTCCTTTTATTTGTTTGTTTCACTGAAGCTGCTGACATGTGATGAGCTATGTAGCTATGTCTTCATTGACAAAATCGTTGTGTTGGGAACTTGTGACTATCAACAAGGATAAACTCAATGGTGTTGGTGCTGCCATTTACCAAAAACCTGCCACAAATGAATGCTATGAGAAACGAAAGCAGAACAAGCCTCCGATGTGTAAAAACGACGACGATTCAAATGCAGCCTGGTATGATTGTCTCCCCAACAAGCTGAAGTACTTAAAGCTTTATAAGAACAAAGAAAGTTAAAACATGAATGCAAAATTTCAGGTATGTACCACTACAAGCATGTATGCATAAAGTGCCAACAAATGTGGTAGAGAGAGGAAGCAAATGGCCCGTGAACTGGCCTCGTCGGCTTCAAACACCACCTTACTGGCTAAACAGCTCTCAAATGGGAATCTACGGGAAACCAGCTCCTCGAGATTTCACTACAGATTATGAACATTGGAAGCATGTTGTTAGCAAAGTATACATGAACGAAATAGGAATCAGTTGGTCCAATGTGAGAAATGTAATGGACATGCGAGCTGTCTACGGAGGGTAAGCATCGACAAAAATGATCAAACAAATATCAATTCAATCATCAAAAAACTAAACCAACTATATCAAATATACAGGTTTGCAGCAGCATTAAAGGACTTGCAGGTTTGGGTCATGAATGTAGTCAACATAAACTCACCAGATACACTACCAATAATCTACGAAAGAGGCTTGTTCGGTATATATCATGACTGGTGTGAATCTTTTAGCACATACCCTCGAAGCTATGATCTTTTACATGCAGATCATCTTTTCTCCAAGTTGAAAGCAAGGTAAAAGATAATAGCTCCAGACTTTTTCATAAGCAATCATCTCAAAACAAAGCTAAAAGTTTTGATCTTTTTTGTTTTTCGAAGGTGCAATCTTGTTCCAGTAATGGCAGAAGTTGATAGAATAGTAAGACCAGGAGGTAAACTCATAGTTCGTGATGAGTCTAATGTGATTAGAGAAATTGAGAATATGTTGAAGTCATTGAGTTGGGATGTTCATCTAACTTTCTCTAAACACCAAGAAGGAATATTAAGTGCTCAAAAAGGATTCTGGAGACCAGACACAATTCAATCTTCTTCCTGAAAAAAAAAAGACACACAACACAAGTATTCTTAAATCTGCATTTGAAGATAGTATGATACATTTTTCATCATCACCC